ATTGCGACTGGCCCACAACAAACAAACAAACAAAACTTGTAGTGAGTCCTCCCACCTTTTTTTCCCAGAAAAAAAAGCACTGGCTTGGGCTTTAGGAGTTGAAAGTCACTGAAAAGTGATTCATGAATAAGGCTTTTACTGTCAGGGAAAGAAGAAATCTTCTTGCATGTAGGTCATATATTTCGATTCAAGTGAAAGGAAACTGACCCATTTAGAAGTGCTCCACTGCAATGCAGTGAGGCCTGCAAATCAAATGAGATTTGGACCCTTTCCAATCAAAAGTAGAGAGTATATTTATTAATTTCTTATCTATTTGGGAGAATTTCTATACAGCTCAATATAGAAAATGCTAGAAAATGGTACATTCTGAGTCTTGAAAGAACATACAAAATACAGAAAAAAACTGTACAGTGGTACCTCGGTTTATGAACTCAATCCATTCTGGAAGTCAGTTCTTAAACCAAAACCGTTCTTAAACTGAGGCGTGATTTCCCTAATGAAGCCTCCTGCCACCGGTGCCCTTCCACCATCCGGCTTCTGTTCTTAGACCGAGGTAAAGTTCACAAACTGGGACACTACTTCTGGTTTTGCGGAGTTCGTAAACCGAATAGTTCGTAAACAGGGCTGTTTTTAAACCGAGGTACCATTTTATAGCGTCTTCAATAGTGTGGACAACAAGAGGGCAATAAGAAAGAAAGAGAATAAGAAAGTTCTAACAAGGGTCTAAGAAGGGATGGGAAACTTGAGCTCTCCAGATGTTGCTGAACTACAACTCCCATCATCCCTGACCTTTTGCTATGCTGGTTGGGGCTGGTGCAAGTTGAAGTCCAGTCCTGGAATGCCTGGTACACAGGAAATAAGGGAGTCCCTCAAATACGCTGGTCCCAAATTGTGTACAGTGGTACCTCAGGTTCCATACGCTTCAGGTTCCATACGCTTCAGGTTACAGACTCCGCTAACCCAGAAATAGTGCTTCAGGTTAAGAACTTTGCTTCAGGATGAGAACAGAAATCGTGCTCCGGTGACGCAACAGCAGCAGGAGGCCCCATTAGCTAAAGTGGTGCTTCAGGTTAAGAACAGTTTCAGGTTAAGTACGGACCTCCAGAACGAATTAAGTACTTAACCCGAGGTACCACTGTACAACTTCAGTATCAGCAAGGCCTCAACCTGGCCTAGTAGCACAGTGGCAGCCAGTGCAGTCATTTCAGCAACATTATATGCTGATGTCAGGTTGTTCTAGTCAGGAGTCTTGACTGCTGCACTCTGAGCTAGCTGGAGAGACCAGAGCAACCAGTAATCGATCTCTGACGTCACCAATGCCTGAACTGCTGTGGATACAAGTTATCCCTGTCCAGGAACAGCTGGAATTGATCAGAGGTACTCCTCGCCACCTATTTGACCTAGCCATCTTTCTCAAGTCAACCAGGGCACTTGCTATTGGCTTCCAAAGGATATGGACTTCATAGTTCAATAAAACAAAAGTAAAAGTGAAACATTTTATTAGCCCCATGTTCAAATCATTGAATGCTTTGAGTTACAAATAACTTTCCTTCCAATGCAGATCTTTTGAGGCAAAAACATTTTTTTACAGCAGCATGGCATACACTGCACTTTCAAGATATATCTCAGTTCTACTAATACAATTGTAAGTTTTGCACAAGTTGCTTTCTGCTTTATAAAAGTCAGTTGGCATTTGCTTGTTGGATCCTTGTCTTTGTTTAATTTGTTGAAAATCTGTTTCTGTATTCTGCCAGAAGTAATATATCCAGGAAAGCAAATCTATTAAGATTTATAACTTTGAAAAAACTTTTCTATGTACAGCATATCATTTCTGAATGAAAGCAATTCCAATCAAAATGTCCATCAAATAAAAGTGTTTTCCCATAGATCGCTGTGAGATGCAGCCGTTCTAATAAAACTTGTCAGACGTCTACAATAAAAATAATAAAACTTTTCTGCTATCTTAACCCCCCCCCCCCAGCTTTCCTAGCTATGTACTGTAACATCATTCTTTAAATTTAATTTCAAGTCTTAGTTTTGGATACCAACGTTGAAAGCAGAGGTAAATTCTGTGTTACTTGAAAGCTAATATTTCTGACATTTTGAACAAGCAATCCTAAACACATTTACCATGGATAACAAATCTCTCCTCATTCTCCTACATTAGGCTAATGGGCATTGTGGTCATAGGCTATGAAAATGCCTTTCCTTTTTGCCCTCAGCAACTTTTTGCCGCCACCCCCCATTGTGCCATAGTTTAAAACAAACTATGGTTTATTGTGAATGAGCGGTGTGCTGTTGCTGAAAAGTTCCTGTGGAGTCCTCCTCTGCTTCTGTTGCTACTGCACCAAGAAAAAACCTTACAAATCCATCGTGGTTTGCTTAGAAACAACCCATAATCTGAGTCCACAGTGTGGAGTGTTAGGAGCATCATGGGAACTTTTGAGCAGCATGCAACAGCACGCTGCTTGTTCACATTAAAACATAATTTGTTTTAATTTAAGCTATGGTTTAAGGTGACAGGCTACTATAGTATACCTCTTTGTGATAGAAAAAGCACAGTACTTCAAAAAGAAAGAAAGAAAGAAAGAAAGAAAGAAAGAAAGAAAGAAAGAAAACCAAGAATGTAATGGTGAAAGAATACTGCCAAAAACTCGGACAAAAAGAGAACTGACTCTTGATCAGAAAAAGAAACATTATTATTTTTTGTTATTATCCTGTGTCAGATATTGCATAAACATTCAGCAGCACAGCATTGTTTTTTAAGTGACCTCATTATTTTGCAGTAGTGGAAAACATGTTTATTTGTCAGTATTACTAATTACTTCTTCAGCACATTGATTGCTTCCTAGTCCTTAGCTCTGCTTTGCACAAAAACTGATTGCTTCAGGATGGGGGATGGGGATTTATTTGAGCAGAACAGGGTCACTTTTCCAACAAGAGCAGCTCTTTACAATCAAAATCAGCATCTCTCAGCCATACCTGATACAAATGAGCCAAATCAAGTTTACAGTTGTCCTCCGCACACATTCTGGAGAGCAAATTTCCTTGAACTCAATGGGATTTACTCCTGAGTAAACACACAAAGAGAATGTGCTGCATCTCTACTATTGCAGAAATCTGTTGATGCAAAGATACATGCTTCGCACCCTTTTTGTTTTTAGAACGGTTTTGCAATTGTCATTACACACTACAAGCACCCAGCTGGAGCAAGAGGGCACCGGGACACAATTCTGAGTTTCACTGGAAAAGCAAACAAAAACGAACTTTTAACTAAAGTTGGGAATCCAACTGATTTTACTTACATGTCCTAGCTTCAGAGAGAGCGATCGCTGAAATATACAGGCAGGAAATAAACAAGCAAGCCACGCAGTGAAGCCTCATCCTTTGGGGGAGTAGCTGCAGTGGGTTATGTAGGGCGTGTGTATCTGTTGGGGGTTAGGAAGGGGAGGGGGCTATTTGCATTTGCTGACAGGTCGCCTTCTTGCTGCTGCTTCTCTGTTGACACCGTGCCTGGAATCAGGGAGGCAGCAGCAGGGGAAATGTTCAGACCTCCCCCTGCTGAGGGAGGGGAGGGAGGGGAGACTGGCTGGGGGCTGGAATCTGGTTGCATACAGAGGCAGGACATTTCCAGGAAACATTCCTGCTGCATTTCACATGGTGGGTAAACAGGAAGCACGGGAGGGAACCTCGAGTCCATATCCCAGAGGCCGTTGAACCTCCCTGGTGCTGGTTTCCAGCAGCTGACTGGGAAAGACGGGAGAGAGAGAGAGAGAGAGAGAGGAGGGATACAGTATTAGAGACAAAGCTGCCTTTCCGTTATATGTTTCCCCACTGGTTTCTTTAGCATTGCACTGCATCACCGGCCCACCGGCCTTATCCTGCTCCCCCCCCCCCAAATCAAAGGCTGTTACTTGCCAGGTTGAGTTTATGTTTGACTGGACTTTGGTTTCTATTTATGTATTGATAGCAGCTAGTCTTCAGAAGGTACTGGAGACAGAGCCTAGCCCATGGGTAGGCAAACTAAGGCCCAGGGGCCGGATCCGGCCCAATCGCCTTCTAAACCCGACCTTTTCCTCTTCCAAAATATAGTCAGGCCCCCCACAAGGTCTGAGGGACAGTGGCCCGGCCCCCTGCTGAAAAGTTTGCTGACCCCTGCTCTAGCCACTGAGACTAGCAGTCATTGGAGAGCCTCATCATCCTTGTATCTGTCCTCTTTTAAAGCCATCCGAGTTGGTGACCATCACCACTTCCCATGGAGGTGTGTTTCACTGTTAAAACATTGCTCTGTGCAACATATTATTTCTATCTTATTTTTCTATCGAGGTGCTCAAGGTTGTGTGCGCTTTCCTCCCCTCCGCCTTGTGTATTCACAAGGTAGGCTACGTTTTAAGTTACTGTGTGTACATAAGCTGCCGTTATTGTCAGTCGATTTGAGATGGGAATCCAGGGAGGGACCTAATCCACATAGAGCGTACTAGCCCAGGGACTCCTGCTGGCAGGAAGCCCATTCCATATGATGCAGGCATTGGACTTTTAGGGAGGAATTATTATTTATTGGGTCACTCCCTGCCTCTCCGCCAAACCTACCTACCTCGCAGGGTTGTTGTGGGAATTAAATGAGAACCATGCGTGCCACCTTGAGTTCCTCGGGCAAGAACATGGGACATAAATGCATTTTTTTTAAAAAAAGTGTCGACTGGTGGTAACACAGGATTTACGTGCTTGGAGAGAACAGTCTCATACGGCGAGAAAGCGCCTCTCAAAAAGGCAGCCTTTGCTGCTGCGCATCCGCATCGCGCGCGAGCTCTGGTCACCCTGGAAACCCTTCCCCGCCTCCTTCGCAACTAATGGTCGGCGGGCAGCCGCCTATCCAGCCGCCGCCCGCTCTCCATTGGCTCCTTTCCTTTCCTTGCCCCCGCCCCCGTTTCCTTCGCTCCGCTCTCCTGGTAACCCTTGGAAACCGGCTTGGTTACGCGTCCCTTGCGCGCCCCGCGTCGTTATCGGCCTGCCTCGGGGACCCGAACCAATAAGCGATCTCCCGAGGCGTCACGTGAAAGAGGGGAAGGCGGGGCGAAAGCAGCGGGGGTCACGTGGCTCCGTTGGACGGGCCGCTCTTGAGCACCGGCGGCCGCTTTGGGGGCTCCCGGAGTGACGGGTGAGGCGGAGAAAGGGCGGTTAGCGGGGAGGGAGGGAGGAGGGAGGGAGGGGCAGGCGAGTGCCGCGCGGCGCCTTCGAAGAGGACCACCCCCCCCCCGAGGGTCTGGCTGTGATGGGGAAGCCGGGGGTGGCGGATCTGTCTCTGTGTGTTGACGTGCTCCTACCTGAGGCGCTGGTAAAAGGGGCTCCTAAGGCTGGGGCCCAGATGTCTTCTGGGCGCCTGATTAGGGAAACGAGGCTCAATCCAGTGTGGGGTGCCGGCTAAATATTCCCAAAGGTTAAAATCCAACCTCTGGGAATATTTTGTATCCATTATCTAGGAAAACTTAGGATCCAGCTTGCTCCTCTTCACCCTGCTACAAAATTGTGTATCTGGTGCAAAGCGATGATGCTCCACTACACTGAAAACAAAAAACCCCTGCTTTTTCAAACTGCAACTTTTTCAGTGGGTTAGCCACTTGAAAGCTAGCCTTATAAAAGCTGTTGATTTCTGAGTTGGTTTTGGAATAATAAAGTTTGGTGATTCATTATTCATTGTATCCCCTCCTCCCTTTTTTATTTTAGGTGTAAGACAGCATCCGAGTTGCTCATGTCTTGGGACTCCAGGATCCGTCTACATGCTGCGTCCTTAATTCATTTGGTGTGCTGAATGGCTGTTAGATAGGGATGTATAGTCTGATGGCCAATTGTTGCAACTGGCTAAAGCGGTGGCGAGAACCTGTCAGGTAAATTACTAGACATTACAACCATCTCCTTTTTAATACCTTGAAGTAGTCTGAAGATTGTACTATGTCTGGCAAGTGTCACAAAGAGGATGAGTATATCCAATGCTGTTCTACTTGTGCAGCAGACTTCTGCTTGTGCAAAGGAGCTCTGATTTTCCTACAGGCCACTGCACAAGCTCAAAATTTGTTCCTGGGATTCCTCTAGAACAGATTTTAGGGTGAATGAGAACAAATTGTGCAGGTGGAGTGCCACTCATGCAGCACTGGATACAACCCAAAGGCTTTATAAACAACAATAGCACAACCATTTTGAAATGGCATATTTTTAAAACTGTAAACTGAAGAGGGTAAAAGAAATTGGTAACTTTAAATGGGCTCTTTGAAAGGGCATGTGGATGTGAAAATACAATAGACCTTTATTAGTGGCATTCATGTGCCTGTTCTTATTCCCCAGTCTTATTTAAAAACTTATTGGAACTGTTTGGAGGTAAAGGTCCCTGCGTCTCTCCATTTTCACTAACCCAGGGCTTTATTTGAACCAGTATTCAGTCTCTGTAGCACTTTCTGTTGGAGATTAGTTCAAGAACAAAGACCTCTGGATATGAGCATGATGTCTTTGTTAACTGGGGGAACATAATCTGTATGTGGGGAAATGTGGTGGTTAAAGGCATGGCAACATGGCACAAGGAAAACCGCGACAACATTTCTGTTCAGTGCTACAATTGACATCATCTATCCACATTCATCAAGAGGCAAAAACAGAATCCCACCCTCTTTTTTGCTGAGAAGCGCTGATGTGTTTTTGGTTTTTTTTAGCAGAAAATTGATTTCTTCTACCCAACTCAATATCCAGAGCTTGCTAGTTCTCCCTTGGTACTTGTTTCCAGTGCCACAGTATGGCCTAATAAAAACACAGATATCTGAACATAGCACAAGAGGAAAGCAACACAATGCTCAGAGAAATTTCAAAGTTTGTACAAATGTGGGGGGGAAACTTGACAAAAAACATATTTAAGTACACAGGGAGACCTCTACTTCTTCATATTTATGTAACTGCATCTCAGGAATCCTCTGTTCTCCAAGTCCCTTCTCAAAACTTGCATTTTCCAGGAAGCCTTTGGAGTATCTCCCCTAGTCACACTACCCTATGGTATGAGTAGTTGAATTTTTTGCATATTCTTCCCCTGTTTTCCCAATGCCTCCATTCCCAACTCTCCATTGCTTCCATGTAAGATTACAGTTACAAATGGTGCTGCATATAAGTAATAGGTACTTGGTGGTGTTGATGATTCTCGAAGATACATTCAATCCCTCCCCCCTAAAATTCTATATGACATTCAGTCAGGACAAAGTCTGAAAATATTTTTTCTTTTTATATAATTCAAAGGAGTGTGACATTAATCATGGTGGGTCTTGATAATGCTGGAAAAACAGCAACAGTGAAAGGAATCCAAGGAGGTAAGTAATATCTAAACTATTTTTGTATTTATAAAAGTATTAAAATGAGCTTTTTAAAATTATGTTTGCACAGGAGGAATTTTTTAATTTATTGCCCTTGGCTAAAACAAGGCCAAGACTGCAGTCCTAACCTCCGTTATCTGGGAGTAAACCCCATTGAATTCAGTAGATTTACTTCTGCGTAGACATGGTTAGGATTGTGCTGCAAGATGCCATATAATGCTAGTAAATACAAAACCCCCAACTGAATCACCCCTAGTTGTGAACACCTCTGGATAGGTATCCTTCGGGTTACGCACGCGGCAAACCCAGAAGTAATGGGAAAGGTTTCCACCATGCGTGCATGTGCAGAAGCGGCACCTCTGAATGCAAATGTTTCGGGGTTCACACAGACCCCTGGAACGAATTAAATTCGTATCCAGAGGTACCACTGTAGGTCTAGGACAGGGGTCTGCAACCTTTAAGACAAAAAGAGCCACTTGGACCCGTTTCCGAAGAAAAAACAACAACTGGGAGCCGCAAAACCATTGCGGCATTTAAAACAAATATAACACTGTGAACGGCTTACCGTGCTTGACTATTTCCTGAGCGGCTACAAAACTAGCATATGTTGTGGAATTTGCAGACTTCACCCAATTCTTGAAATTATTTTTGCTCCTATCAACCTTCCTCATAAGTTCTGCAATGGCTTTTCGTCTCTCATCTCCATCTGGATATTTTTCAGCAAAGGCTGTGTGTTTATTCTGGAAATGTCTTGCAATATTTGACTTTTTGTTGTTTGCAAATTTCTCACCACATATTAAGCATACTGGTAAACCAGTCTTGTCAGTAGAGAAGGCAAATGATTCTGTCCATGTATCATTAAACATTCTGTTTTCTTCAGAAATTTTTCTTTTCTTGCCTTTATCCATGGCTGGCCTACCGGGGGTCCAAAAGAGGGACGTAATTAGAAATCAGAGGGCCCCATAGCAAAATTTGCTATGCCCAATAATCAATGCCCCAAAATGCCATAGAAAATTAATCAGGGCCCCAGTGTACCATAAATCATAATCAGTGCCTGATGTAAATAATAATTAATAATGAGGGCCCAATGTCATCCTCGTCATTTTAAAATAACTTTTTTGACACTTTATTATTATTTTTTTGTTTGACCCCTCAGAATTACTCCTCCTCATAGAATAAACGTTAAATTAAGAAGTTACCTTTTTTTGAGTGTGTGTTCTTCACTCCCCTTCAAAACAGTGACCAGCTTACATGCCCCCTTTCAATGCAGCCTGCTTACTGCCCTCAACCAAAATGGCCGCTCCCGCGACTCCCACGTGCGCCCACAAAGATGGCGCCGACGATTTTCCCTTATCGGTGCCCTTTAAAGAAATGGACGCCGCAGCTTCAACCCACGCCTAGAGGAGGCTAGAGAGGGAGGAAAGCGGGGGGGGGGGAGGAAAGCAGCGAGGACGGCAGAGAAGGACTGCCGGGAGTGGAATCCCACACACCGCGAGGGGAAGGAAGGAAGAGGGTGCGAGCTGGAACGGGGCAAAGAGGGCAGTCCCCGGTCGTGCCTGGCCTTAAATGGGCTAGGCCACGCCTCCCCGGCCCCGCCGATTGGCGGGCAGGGTTGCAGGCACTCCCGGGGATTCCCCTGTTCTCGCGGGGGCAAAAGGCCAGCCCCCGCGAGTGGAGTGTGGGAGGGGTTAGCTCGCAACCCCCTCTCCTCTCTAGCTCGGAAATGGCTTTGCAGAAAATGCGCCTCCTCCCCTCGCCTCCGCCCCGGAGCCGCGGCAAAGGCGTTAAAGAGCCGCATGCGGCTCCGGAGCCGCAGGTTGCCGACCCCTGGTCTAGGAAAAGCTATGTAATATAGCAGGATAACTGCTTTCTGTTTGATGCTACAAGTTGCACTTTTTAAGCTGAATGTGGATTCTTTTCTAGTTGAAAGCAAAACTTCTGTTGTATGGCTGTGCCCCTCCTTTGCATTCTGCTTGGGCTTATATTTGGAGATGCCATAGGCACTTGGGCTGCAACCTCATGCACTTACCAAGGAACAAGCCTCATTGAAAACAGTTGTGCTTGCTTTTGAGTATGCCTGCGTAGATGGTGCAGTGAATCACTGTCAGAACATCTCACTTTTTTGTAAGCATTGCTTTCATTTGTTTTGTACATCGTTAGCCACATGCACATTTTTAGTGCTTCCAGAGCCTCTGGATATCACTAAAACTTTGGGAGCAATGTAGATGCAAAATGAGGCTGTTACGCTCAAATATATGCACTTCAATATATATTGCTATTGCATGTTTCCAAAATAGAGGGTTTACAGACAGTTGTTAGAGAAGACTGGTGCCCCTATCATTGTAGAGAAAAATAATATTTGTTAGGAGTCACCTTGTGTCGTAAAATGGAAGGGAAACATCTTTGGTAAGCATTTGAGGAACTGCTGACATAAATTATTTTTTAATTATAGCACATATATAAAATATCCACATTAATGAGGCATTTCACATTTTAGTTTAGGATAGAAAATCAATGGTTCCCTTTTGCCCCCCCCCCCCTTTGTATGTGCAGTAACTCTTATTTGCTGAAATGCACAGTAATGAGCAGACATCAGTAAATTTTACCTAAAAATCAATGTTGTAGGTATTACCTTTTTATGATATTGACTTGTGATATAATTTGGAAAGAAGGAAATTGTATGTGCATAACAAAGTGTTATTCTAATGATATTTTTATATCCCTATTTATAATTGGAAGGTACCAACAATTTGCCAGATCACCTTTATCCCTTCAACCATAAAAATTTCTCTTAGCATCACTTTCTCTCCTCTGCCAGCTCCAATAAAACAGCATGCAAGCTTAGCATCAAATAAAATTTCTGTTTCAGCTGGGGAGAAGTTTCAGAAGTGTCTGTTCTGAGTGCTTGACAGTTTACTGACATACATGAACACATTGTTTTGGATGAATCCAGTCCAGAATAACAGTGGATTTTTCATATGTGAAATAGTGAGTATCTTTTCTAGGTGAAAAGATCATATGACTTCAGTATGACCCAGATCCAAAGGGCCCATGGGCAAGGGCTTTTCATTTTCAGCATCTCAGTGGAAGCTCCTGACAACTGAAAAGTTGTTGTGAACATCAGGGTATTCCTCATTATGGTTCTCAACTGAAACTGGTGAAAAGAGAAAGTCACTTCACTTCTCCCCTGCCCTCAAAGCTCTTGGCATGGGCATGGGCATCTTTTGGCACTGTGGCCTGTATCTCCAAACAAATTCTCATTCTAGCTTTTCTTGGGTTACGAAGCCCTGGCAGAAAGCATGCCAGCAACAAATTATCTTCATTTAAAACAAATCTGGATTGAAATGTGGGAATATGAAATCAAGTGAAACAAGATCATTTTAATATGAGGAGTTTGTCACCTCCCCCTGTCCTTATTGGGTTGATTCTTCAAGGGTTCTACTCAGGGTATGTACCTAGCTCTCTCAGTTCTTCATAAACGTGACATTGTTTTGCATATGCAGTAGACATTATTAACACGAATTTCTAGTCCCACAGTGAAATACTGCCTTAAACATGTCCAGGATTTGTATAGTTCTGTTCTACAGGCTGAAATTGGTAGCCTACCATCAGTTAGACCATAATTCGCAGCAAGACAGGTGATAAGAAATTTAATTTGCATTCATTGTGATCACAGCAGCTTATACATTATTGTCTGTCCACATGACATCTTGTGATCCATGTTTGTAATATTTGTAGCTAATATATACATAGAAAAACTAGAAACGGATCTGTAAAATTCATGTTATTCTGATCCTAAAAGTGCATCAATCTCTCTTACCAGATAGATGCATTGCCCCCCCCCCTTACCTCATCAAAAATAGGCTGGAAAGGAATAACATGTTGGAAATAGGTTTCCCTTTCTCCAAACTTGATCTTGAGTTGGAAAACATTACCCTCTTCTTAAGGTAAAGGTAAAGGTACCCCTGCCCGTACGGGCCAGTCGTGACCGACTCTGGGGTTGCATGCTCATCTCGCTTAAGAGGCCGGGAGCCAGCGCTGTCCGAAGACACTTCCGGGTCATGTGGCCAGCGTGACGAAGCTGCTCTGGCGAGCCAGCACCAGCGCAGCGCACGGAAACGCCGTTTACCTTCCCGCTATAAAGCGGTACCTACTTATCTGCTTGCACTTAGGGGTGCTTTCGAATTGCTAGGTGGGCAGGAGTTGGGACCGGACGACGAGAGCTCACCCCACCGTGGGGATTCGAACTGCCGACCATATGATCAGCAAGTCCTAGGCACTGAGGTTTTACCCACAGCGCCACCCGCGTCCCGTACCCTCTTCTTACCTTTCCTTTATTTGATACTTTGAGGATTATGGTTCCCGATATTAAAACAGTATTCTGTCTTAAAATGCCCACGCCCGCCCCCAAAGATAATTCAAACTGTATCATACGTGTCTCATAACTTGTTCTTTAATTTCATCAGAGTCCCCAGAGGATGTGGCCCCAACTGTTGGCTTTTCTAAAATTGATCTTAAGCAAGGCCGGTTTGAAGTCACAATCTTTGACTTGGGAGGCGGCAAGAGAATCCGGGCTATCTGGAAGAATTACTATGCTGAATCATATGGGGTAATATTTGTTGTGGATTCCAGTGATGTTGAGAGAATGGAAGAGACAAAAGAAACTATGTCGGAAGTTCTAAAGCATCCCAAGATCGCAGGGAAACCTGTATTGGTGTAAGTAACAAAAATCAAGAATTATTCTAAGTACTGATCTATAACTTGAATATATTTCCTAAAACATTGAATTTGTGATACTACTTTTTCCTTAAGTTGCCTTTAAAGCGGAATATTTTCTTTCCAACCAAACAAGCAGAGAAATTAAAGTGTATTGTGCTGCTGCTGATGTCATTAGAAATGATGGCTTCAATATGGCAGAACTATTGTCTGTGCAAACACTCTTGAAATGAGTTATATAATTTCTGCAAACATTCCATTATTGCCTGTAGTGATAACTCTATAACTGTTTTGACGAATAACGATGTCAACACAAGTAATATGACCCTTGTGTTGTCTAACATAAGCATGTTATTAGCTAACCGTTGGTATTAATGAGGTCTCCATGTTTAACACCAGGGGGTGCAAGTGATGCATTATCAGAAGAACCTGGTGTCTAGAAACTGAAGTTGTCTCATGCATAACTCTGTATCTCGGGATGTGTGCAGGTCTTACTCCAACATGTTCAGTGTAATGATGTAGCAGAAAGTGGATGCACTGCAATTTATACACCTGCAGAGTAAAATACCCTTCTGCCTTTCTGAACAATATGGTCATGATCCAGCCACGGTGAAGCAGGTTTAAGTCCATTTTAATGTAATGCTAACTTACATGTTCTTAATTCTTCCATTGAAAACAGTGGGGCTTGATAGTCCGTTTAAATTAGAACTATGAATTTAGAATTAGAATGAAATGAGAAAATGACACTCAATAGCAGCTGATAACATTTTGACCTGATAGGGCTGCAACTTTTAATATATTGTGTTTTCAGCACAACAGGACTTAATACATCACTTACTAGAGGGTTTATTAATTGACTGTAAAGTTGTGCTTAAAATATAATTGAACAAATGCCAGACATTTAGAGATGAATTTCATATTGTTTAATTATCAAAAAATCAATTTTTCATGTAATTACTAAAACCGTTAACTTGTTTATTTTTTTTGTATTAATTACCCATGGGTAGTATTAATTTTTTGGTAACAAAATAAATGTGAAAATTGTATCTGTGTGAAATTTGTGCTATTACAATGACTTTCTATACTGCATCACCTGTGACCAATCTCACACCCTCCCTCATTTTGCACTCATTGTTCAGACACCAGTTGCACCACCCTAGTTACTCTTCCGGTTGGCAACCTAATTCTGATGACTGTACAAAATAACTGGCAGAGGAAACTGAGCAAACCATTCTGCCAATTGCAGAGAACACTGTATAATCTTTTATCTTTGATGCTGGATTTTTGGAACTCAAATGTGATTCAACTGACAAGGATTTCAGGAAATTCAGTTTGGAAAAATTTTGGTTGTAATATCTCCCTGTATATCCCAAAACAGGAGAAAGGCTCTCCACATCGTTATACAATTTATGCCTTAGTGAATCTGATTTTGCTGTGCAACAGACTGGATATTTAAAGTGTTCTAAGATCTGGCTATTTTAAATTTTAAATTTCATGTGCATTTTTTGAATTTTTTGGGGGAACATATATATACATTTGGGGACGCGGGTGGCGCTGTGGGTAAAAGCCTCAGCGCCTAGGACTTGCCGATCGAAAGGTCGGCGGTTCGAATCCCCGCGGCGGGGTGCACTCCCATTGCTCGGTCCCAGCGCCTGCCAACCTAGCAGTTTGAAAGCACCCCCGGGTGCAAGTAGATAAATAGGGACCGCTTTCTAGCGGAAGGTAAACGGCGTTTCCGTGTGCTGCTCTGGCTCACCAGAGCAGCGATGTCACGCTGACCACATGACCCGGAAGTGTCTCCGGACAGCGTTGGCCCCCGGCCTCTTGAGTGAGATGGGCGCACAACCCTAGAGTCTGGCAAGACTGGCCCGTACGGGCAGGGGTACCTTTACCTTTATATATATACATTTAAAAAGTATTCGTGATTTTTTTTTTATTAAGCCCCAAAATACTGTAATTTTCGCTCCAAAACACGCACTTTTTTGCTCCTAGAAAGTAAGGGAAAATGCCTGTGCGTGTTAAGGAGCGAATGCACTCGACTGGATCCATGGCTGCCGTCAGTCAAGCAAAGCAAGCTTTCCTTGCTTTACAGCCAGGAGGAGGGGGAGGAGCCGAGGAGGGAGGGAGGGAGGGAAGGAGAGCCATGGCAGCAAAGCGGGCAGCAGCCGCTTACACGCGAGGAGGGACAGACGGGAGCCATAGGGAGCCGGAAAAGCGCCGCGTAGCCAGCAACAGCTGCTGCAGCCTCAGCTAGCAACGCTCTCTAAACGGAGCAATGAGGCTGCAGAGGGACGGCAGGGCACAGGAGGGCTCTGAGCCACGAGCGCAGTGAAAACCAGTAAAAAAGTTTTTAAAAAGGCTGCTGGGGACAGGAGGGCACGGGATGAGGGAGAGAGGGAAATTACGATTCTCCCAGCGTCTCAGCTGATCCGCTGAGCAGGACTTGGGTTGCAGGGGATTCGCCATTAGCTGCGTAAAGCAGCAAAGAGGGAGAGAAGGAGCAAAGTGGGAGAGGAAAGGAGCTGCTTACACTGCTGTAAGTGGCTGCTGTCTGGTTGGCTCCTTTAAAGCAACAGTGCTCTTTCCCTCCCCCCTCCCCTCTCAGCTCGCCGAAAAGCTCCTTTTCCACACACCCCACTCGAGCTCCTTCTCCCCTTAAATCCCTCTCCTGCATCATTAGCCACATCCTTCTCCACCCACCCCACGCGTGTTCCTTCTCCCCTTAAATCCCTCTCCTGCATCATTAGCCACATCCTTCTCCACCCACCCCACTCGAGCTCCTTCTCCCCTTAAATCCCTCTCCTGCATCATTAGCCACATCCTTCTCCACCCACCCCACGCGTGTTCCTTCTCCCCTTAAATCCCTCTCCTGCATCATTAGCCACATCCTTCTCCACCCACCCCACGCGTGTTCCTTCTCCCCTTTAACCGCTCGCCTGCATCATTAGCCACATCCTTCTCTACACACCCCACGCGTGTTCCTTCTCCCCTTAAATCCCTCTCCTGCATCATTAGCCACATCCTTCTCCACCCACCCCACGCGTGTTCCTTCTCCCCTTTAAACGCTCTCCTGCATCATTAGCCACATCCTTCTCTACACACCCCACGCGTGTTCCTTCTCCCCTTAAATCCCTCTCCTGCATCATTAGCCACATCCTTCTCTACACACCCCACGCGTGTTCCTTCTCCCCTTTAACCGCTTGCCTGCATCATTAGCCACATCCTTCTCTACACACCCCACGCATGCTCCTTGTCCCTTGAATGCTTTTCCTTCCCTCCCTACTTAAAACGTGGTTACAAAGCACGGATCCACATGGATCCTCAGGATTTTTGCACTGGGTCACCCCAGGTTCACCATCAGATCACATAAAATGTCCATGGCTACAGCCTGCACCAAAAAAATCACGCACCCACTGTTTCATGGGGCTGCAATGGCGCAAAAACGTGGTTACAAAGCATGGATCCACATGGATCCACAGGATTTTTGCATTGGGCTACCCCAAACTCACCGTCAGATCACGTTTGTGGCCACAGCATGAACCACAAAAATCATACATCCACTGTTTTGTTTAGAATATTTTTTTCTTGCTTTCCTCCTCTAAAAACTATGTGCGTGTTATGGTCAGGTGCGTGTTATAGAGCGAAAAATACGGTACTGTTTATGATTAAAAGTCAGCAATGTTTCAATACTTTCTAGAAATTAAAATAGGGGCACCAGATGTGGATGGGGGCATAACATTTTTATATAATCTGAGAGGGGGCATGGGTTAAAGGTTCAGAAATGCTGCTTTAGAACTCTTTCCACATTTTCTGTCTAGGAGCTTCTTGTTTATAGATAAATCCCTACAGGTGAAGATCTTGTCATCAGTTACTTCAATCATTTTATAATAAAAATTGTTCAGAGTTTTGTTTTGGAATGAGTTAGCTATAGCTGCCAGCTGCTATTTTTATTTCTTAACTTAATTATTGAGCTACATGTTTGGGGGAGGGAATTGATCATACTCCTAGTCCTACCATCTTCACTTTAGACAACTGAAATACTGACAACATTTTGCTCTAAAACAATTAGAGTGAAATGAATGAAGTTTTGCTTCTAGGCAATTTCTTGTTATGATCCCTTTAAACTAGTATAAGGTTGTAACTTTAGGATGGATGGTTTTGCAGAAGAATATCTAACCTTTTTTTTTATTATTTCTGGGCCACTATCTAGAATTAGATTTGTTTGTCTCTGCTGAAGTTTCAGTCAATACTTGCTGAAAGTCCATCCGTCTTCACTGGCCACAAAGAAAGAGTGAATGTGTAGTTTGTGTGTGTGTGTGTGTGTGTGTGAGAGAGAGAGAGAGAGAGAGAGAGAGAGAGAGATGTATGCCTATGTACTTCTATTTCCCTGTGACACATAATAACATACTTACCCGTTATCTCAAAAAACTTTCTGCACCTATTTGGTATAAAGGATTTGGTGGTGACGTGATCCGTCTTACTAGTGACCTATGTTAAATTGTAGAAACAGAGAACTAGATTGGCTCACCCACTATAATTTAAAAACACTGAAATGGTTGTGAGGTATCAGGCCCATGGATGCCCTCCTCTTTCATACCCGGGGCAAAAGCACAAGTAGTTATGTACAAAAGTACATCTTAGTTGTCCATAATATTTTCACTTGAAGTCTTGATATATGAACATGTTCAACATGTTGATGGCTTTCTTCAATATAAACATGCTCTAAATTTCCAAGTTTGTACAAATACTGTATTTTTTCCCAGCTTACCTAGTGCAGCCATCTTTAACATTTTCATACCAAAAGCTCCCTCCTTTAAACCAATAGGTGCAAATTGGCACGCAGTTTTAATTATATGTGCACATGCCTGCCCATCTCCCTCCCTCCCACCATCTCTTGCCAAAGGAATTCTGGCAGATACTTAATGGGCTGAATTTTTCTCTTTCATGCCCAAGTTCTACCCTCCTTTGCATCTGATGACCTATTAGGCTCTGCTTTCTTG